GCGAAGCAATACAAAGCAATACGCGAATCACTGTTAAACCAGTTAAGCAACGCAAAGCAATGCAAAACACTGCAAAGCAATGCGACGCACTGCAACCACATGCAATTCAATGCGCCGCAATGCAGAGCAATGCGAAGCAATGCAAAACACTGCAAGGTACTGCAGGGCAACGCAAAGCAATGCAAAGCACCGCGAAGCAGTGCAAAGCAATGCAAAGCAGTGCAAAACAATGCATATCAATGTAAACTCCCGCACGTCAGAGCAAATCAATCCAACGCAATGCAAAGCGATGCGAATTAATGCACATCAGCTCGAACCAATACAATGTAGCATTGCAAATCATTGAAGCTCAGCGCGACGAAACGCAACGCAGTGTAAAGTAATGTACAGCGGCGCAAGGCAGTGGAAAGCAATGCCATGGACTGCAAAGCATTGCACAGCAATGCAGCGCCATGCGATCGCAATGCGATTGCAGTGCAACGCGTTCGGTTGCAATGCACTTGGCATCGTTCGGAGGTGTGCATTTTTCCTTCGGCGAGGACCATCGAGGAGCATCCTTGATCATTTGGCGAAAAAAACCACGCACGAAACCGAAAAAACACAGGGAATAGACGTCCGAGCGATGGCCAGTGCAGTGCCACAGCAATGCAAGACAATGGAATGCAATGCGATTGCGATACCACGGGGGGAGGGGGTGCCAAGCGGGCGGCGGCGACGGGCGGGAACGGGGCCGCTGGGGCGGCGGACGGGTCTTGCAACCGGGAGGAACGGCGACGGACGGGAACGGGGCGGCCGGGCCGGTAGGCTGCACGAACGAGATGGGCACGGAAAGAATGGGCACAATGCCCAACAGCGGATCTTTTGAACAGGACTCGCTGTCCACGCCGCCGCGGCCTGTGTCCATTCGAGACAGAAGGCCGCCCGCCCAACAGCGGCCGCCGTTGGTTTGGGACACCACTTGCTGTTGGGCATTGTGCCCATTCTTTCCGTACCCATTTCGGGCGTCCAAAGGTAGGCGGGCACAGTTCGGAGACACGTGAGGACCCCCAAGTGCCGGCACGGGTTGGGACATCTCTCGTGTCATCTCGTTCGTGGTATCAGATCGCATACGTGCGCCACATGGCATCTCATGTCGTATTCTTCAAGCAGTGCTTGCATTGAGGAGTTCTGACTTCTGGAAGAGGGAACTGGGCCTGCGGGCCGGCTTGGCGGGTATGTAGTCGCCGTCGCCACCTCGGCGCCGCCCCGTCGCCGCCCGTCGTTTGGGCGTGTCTGTCGGTCTGGCGCCTATGCTGTCGCTGTCGCCGCTCGTCGCCGCATTTGCTTTTCTTGCTTCCATTTGCATTGCTCGGACTTGCATTTGCTTTCCATTGCTTCGCATTGCTTTGCTTTGCGTTGCGTTGCTCTGCATGTTTGTTCAGAGCTCGGCATTGCTGTGCATTATTGTGTCTTGCTTTGTTATGAATTGCTTTACCTTGCTTTGCGTTGCTTCGCGTTGCTTCGATTTGCATTGTATGGCATTGCTTTGCGTTGCTTTGCATTCCGTTGCTTTACCCTTGCTGTGCATGTTTCTCATTGCATTGCTTTGCCTTGTTTCGTGTTGCTTTGTAATACTTTGCATTGCTTTGCATTGCTATGCTTTGCGCATTCTTGCATTACTTTGCACTATATTGCTTTGCTTTGCGTTGCGGTCATTTGCCTTGCGCTGAGCTGCTTTGCGTGGCATTGCTTTGCGTTGCTTTACGCTGCCGCGCATGGCATTAAATGGTTTTGCATCGCATTGTATTGCTTCGCATTGCTTTGCATTGCTTTGCATTGGTCTGCATCGCTTTGGGTTGCTTCGCATTGCTTTGCGTTGGTTTGCATTGCTTTGCATTGGTTTGCATCAATTTGCACTGCTTTGCAGTGCGCAGCATTGCTCAGCATTGTTGCATCGTTGCACTGGTATGTATTTCGTTGCATTGGGTTGCACTGCTTCGTATCGCATTTCGTTGAGTTGCATCGCATTGCATGGCTTCGCGTTGCTTTGTAATGCTTTGCTTTACCCTGCCGCACCAAGTGGATTGCACCATCCATGTTGCACCACATGGATTGCACCATCCAGATTGCGCAGCATGGACTGTAGGACATCACTGCTTGGGGTCCACGGTGGCTAACACCTCTCATACACTGGAAGCCTGGCCCTGGGAACCCCAGGGCCGCGTACCACCAGCGGCCACCAGTGAGCACCAAGCTACTCCTCCGCCCTGGTGCTTCCCTGGGTCGCCTCCAGAACCTCCCATGAGCTGCCCTGGGCCTCCGTGGAGCCTCCAGCCGATAAAGTTCGGCGCTCAAGAGACGGGGGTCAATGCAAACGGGGGTCAGAAAGAGCGCCGGATCGTGCAGGATCCTGCAGCGCCAGGGGCGCATTGACCCGGGTTTGGGTGCAGGCTCCTGCAGGATCGTGAAGGATCTTGCAGGATCCTGCAAGGCCTGACTGACCCCCGGGTTTGGATCGACCTGGGTCAGCAGAGCCCCGACAAGTTCCAAAAAGAGTCCAAGACGGGCGACCAAGGCCCGCGGATTGCCCCGGATGGCTTCCAGACAGTTCCAGGCAGCCCAATGTGGCCTCATTGGGCCTCCAAGTGCCCCCCCCCAAGACGGTTCCGAGAGGATGCCCCTCAAAATGGCGTGTCGAGGGCCCGTTGGGGGCTCAGAGCTTTCCCGAACAGGCTCGGCCGAACCATCTTGCGGACGTCTCGGCAGGTCTTGGGGCCGTCTTGGAGCCCTCTTGGGCCGTCTTGGAGGGTTGTCGGGCAGTCTTTGGGCTATCCGGGGGCCCTGTTAAGGCAGTTTGGGGCCACATTGGGGGCTGTTGGGGGACTTGGGGCTCTCTGAAGCTTTCCCGAGGCGGTATGAAATCTTAAAGCACTGGAAGCACAACGCACTTTGGGCTTGTTTTCGTTTATGCCATTATGTGTGTACTTCTGTTCGTTTTGGTCAACGTTCTTCTCTGAGGGCCTCACTATATGCTTCCTGGCGTCTCTTGGAGGCGGAGGCTTCTTTGGGCCTCTTGGGACATCTTGGGGAGATCTTGTACGACTTGGAGCCTTTGGGAGCTCGTTGGGGCGTGTTTGGAGGCAATGAGGCGCCGGAGAGCAAAAGCAGGGGGGCGTTTTTTCAGTACGCGCGCGATGATGGGGGGGCTTGACCTCAGAAAGCATGCGTTGATTAAACCCCACCAGGCAACGGACAAGCATTCCAGCACGCCCCAACGTGCCGAAGGCAGAGAGGCGCATGATTGGATGTGGCCATGGGACGGGAAGGGTACTCCAGATTTCGTAATAAAAGGGAGGGGGTCTGGACCCTCCAAGACAAGCCATTTCAGACCTCCCCCGTGGGAGAACCCTCCAAAACATCGTCCCCAGACCCCCCAGGCCCTCCAAGATAGCCTGGAAGAGACCCCCCCGAAATGAGACCCCCCTCCCTTTATTACGAAATTCTGGAGTAATTGGCCAGGACACGATCTACGGTGCCATGGTGACCGCCCACGGCAAGTTCGAGACGGCGCGCACCTTCCTCGAGCCGGCGCAGTCGAGGCCGCCGGGTTTTTTTTGCTCGGTCGCCTCCTCTCCCTCGGAGCCGCGTGCTCACCGTGCAGTGTGCCAGATGTGCGCGGGGGTCGAGGGGTGCTGACCTTCTCCTCCTCCTCCTCCTCCCCCTCCTCCTCCTTCTCTTCCTCCTCCTCCTCCTCCTCCTCCTCCTCCTCCACGTGACCAGCTGTGCGGTATTGTTGATGAGGGTCTGCGTTTCCTTGCCATCCCTGCAGACTTCCCCCGTTTTTGTTTTCAAGAGGCTTGCGTCATTCTATTGGGCCTCCAACGCGCGGGTTGGCGAATCTAGTTGGTTCGGGGTCCTGTATCCTCAGAAGGTTTTGCAGGACGTCCACGCGAACCCTCTCTCCCATAAGGGAAGCATGCGGTAGGTTCGTGTCGTGTCGACCTGCGGCGACCCCGCCAGAGGCGTTCATTTTTGAACGCCGTGGGCGACCCAGAATCGTTCGATGTGGAACGATTTGGGCGTTTCGGAAACGGCCGATCCCCCGCGGTGTCAGAAACCGAAGTCGGCACGACACGAACCTGACGTAGGCAAATAAGTAGGTATGCAGTGGACGAGAGCGGCTAACAATGCTTGACTCATTGGCCTCTGGGCCTGGCCATCCTTTCCCCCCCTCCTTTCCCTCAGGGGCAACGTCCCCCGATTCGATTCGATTTGATTTCGAGGGGTTCCCATTCCGATTCGATTCGACTTCGGATTCCGATTTGGGCTCCGATTCTCTGTTGGAGGCACATTAGCCTGCCGATTTCCGCCGACCCGACTTTCCCCGACTCGGCCGTCGATCTCCGCCGATCCGATTCCTTTCGACTGCAGATCCGATTCATCGATTCGATCCTGGGCTCTCCTGGGCTAGGCTCAGGCGGAGGCGCGCATCGACCCCCCAGTTGCCCACGGATCGCCGACATGGGGCCCGACAGCCCACCCCGCCCGGGAACGCGCGGCGTCGCTCCATGGAGGCCCACCGCCGATCTGTCGGCGACGCATCGCCGATTCCAGGCCGACCTTCACGAAACGCCTGAGGGGTGTGCCAAAATTGGGTGGCGCCGCCATGCTGACGGCGCCACTGGGACCTTTAGAGGAACCCCCTATGAGGCCACGAAGCGCGTGAGGGGCATGCCGAAATGAAGCGGCGCCGCCATCCAGACAGCGCCTCTGGGACCTTGGGTGGAGCTCCTTATGGGGCCACGAAACGCGCGATGGGTGCGTCGGATTGGCGCTGCGCCGCCATGCGGACGGCGCCACTGGGACCTGAAGTGGGGATCCATGGGGTCACCCCCCTTCCAGTGAGGAGCCCACCTGCACACCCCGTCGCCCCCCGCGGGCCCGCCGGCAGGGGCGACCCGTCGTCCTTCGGCGCGGACGTGCTGAGGACCGCGCTGTGGACCGTCGCCAGCGTATCCTGGGTGGACGCGGGGGAGGGGACGAGGGCAAGCTAGGTGCGCTCGCGTCATATCTGACGTCCTACCCCTCCCTCCCACCCCTTACCATGGCGCTGATTTTCTCTATCCGCGGACGCGTGTCGTAGCGGACCTGTGGCTCCGCGCGCGCGTGCGTAGTGGGTGGAGGTGCGCGTGCGTGCGTGCGTGTGTGCGTGGTTGTGGTGGTGGTGGTGCTGGTGGTGGTGCTGGTGGTGGTGCTGGTGGTGGTGGTGGTGCTGGTGGTGGTGCTGGTGGTGGTGCGGCGCGGTGGTGGCGGGCGGATGGGCGCGCGAGAAAGAGGCCCTCGCTGGGGCGAGAACGCCATCCTGAACGACGGAGGCCAAACACCGATCCGAAAATGAGGCCCACGCTGCGGCGGGAGCACGATCCGGAACGATTCGGGAGCAGAAATGAGGCCGGCGCCTCAGCGAGAGCAGCATTTTGAAAAAAACGCAGGCGAAAACCCAACTCCGGGGAATCCTGTGTGTAAAAAACAGTACGCGGGGGGGGGTCTAATACTTTCAGGCCGCCATCGGGGGAAGAGGGAGAGTAGTATTCATATTAGTAATTGTGGAGGGGCTGGGGAGGGAGGGGGGGGGAGGTGGGATGGGAGGGTTCGATGCTCGTTTCGGGGACTTTCCTGGAGCCCACCAAACGGATCTGTTCGACCCCAGTTCGATTCAAGTTCGACTCAAGTTCGACTCAGGTTCGACTCAGGGTCGACCCAACTCGACTGACGTTCGACGCAGCTTCGACGCACGAGTGGAGCGAGTGGCTCCAGGAAGGTCCCCAGAACGAGCATCCAAGGAGGGAGCGGGGGAGATGCGTGCCAGTTCGGACCAGGTCTGGTCAGGGCCCCGCCGCGAGTAAGGGCAGCGCGGGCCTGCCTCAGAAGGCGGGGTGTGCTGCAATACGAATTAGGGGTGGGGAGCCACCCTCTTCCCTGGCGCGGTCAGTATGACGCCGACTGGACAGCAGAGCGGGCCTGCGGTGAACAGGCCGCTCAAGGGCCCGTCAGCACACCCGACAAACAGGCGCTGGCTGCAACCGCGCGTGGGCATGTGCGCCCGGGTACCTCACTGAACCCTGGCGCCGCTTTGGGGCATCCTCCGCAGCGGCCCAGTGCTAGAGCTACGGGAAAGTTGCCAGCAGTTCTCGCAGCGCACGCATAATACATACACACATATCAATATATATATATATATACATATATATATGTGTACACACATACATTATATATAAATGTATGTATATATATAGAAAGAGAGAGAGAGAGAGAGAGAGAGAGAGATAAAGAGGCTTGGCGCTGGTGTGCTAGCGGTGGGCGTCGAGGCGCGCCTTGAGGCCTGCTTGGGGATAAGTCCCAAGGTGAGCAGGCGAAAGCAAGGCCCGACGAAGCTCATTTCAGGCGGTCTGTGCTCTCTGGATTCTGTCGCGACGGGGCCCTGATTGTTCCCTGGGGGCTTCGTAGGATATGAACGAGGTTGGTAGCACACTGATGCCGCGTCGTGCGCTGTTGGCAGTGGTTAGAAGTGAGGTCAGTCCCGCGATCGAGGTTGGCAGATTGAATGGCAACCGTGAGGCGTTTCGTGGCACGACTCCGCTCGGTGGACTGTACTGGAGCCATTCGGCCTTCACCCTGGTGGGTGGTGCTGAGGCCGTGAGGCCCCGTACCCTGGTGGGACGGGGTACTGGCCTGATGGCAGAGTGCTCTGCGTTGAGGGCTTGGGTGTGCGGCTGCGGTTTTCCAGCCATCGGGCTGTGGCGGCGGCACTTGCCCGCCTGGGGGCCCAGTCGGCGATTCGTCGCCAACCTCACGCGGGTCCTCTCTCAGGTCGTACGTTCCTGGGGCGGGGTCCTGGTGGTCAACCGCCTCCAGAGCCATCATCGTCCTGTGCCTTCTCGCACGCGGGGATGACGAGGGAGGGACAGTAGGGACTGAGCTACGATCGGAGTGGTCGAGCCCCCTGGTAACGTGCGCGGTAGGCGTCCTGACGCTTGGGACTGGGTCCTGGTGGCCCCCCACCTCCAGAAGCGTCCCGTGCTGTCCTGTCACGCTTTCGGCGTCGTGGTGCACAGCGTGCTGTCTTGTCGCACTGCGCAACGTGCCGTCCCGTGGTGCGAAGCTTGGTGCGCGAATGCGTCTCGGTGAACGCCGTGATGCAGCCCGTGCATCGTGGGAGGTCACGTCGCTGTGACGGCCCCGCCATCACTCCCCCGTCGAACCCCGGGGGGCCTCCGCGAGGAACCCAGTTGTCCTCCGCATGGCGCGGGGCCGCAAGGTCGCGGACATCGCCTGATGGGGGGGTTTGCTGTCTCTCTCCTGTCAGTGGTTCCACTGGATGAGCCGGGGGGGGCCCGCCCCACCTCCTGCCAGGGGTTCCGCTGGAGGCACCGTGCAGATGGCACCATCCCTGCGGCCGCCTGGCCGAGCTTGAGAGACCTCTCCAAGGCGTGGTGTGGCCAGAACCGCCACAGAGGAACCGACACCGTCGTGGCTGCTCGTCATCACGGTGCTGCTCCCAGACGTGTTGGTAAGAGGCGCGGTGATCGGTGCACTGCTCGCTCTGCTAATCACGCTCGTTGGCGTGAGGTTGCTGATGCTAAGTCCCGTCATGCCTCGCGGTGTCGCGGATCAGTTTTTGTTCGTGCTGCTCGATTCCTCCGTGCCGCTTAGCGTTGAGATCCTAGTCCTGGACGTGCTGATCGAAGGCGTGGTGCACGTAACATGTTCGTCTCTCTCTCTCTCTCTCGCAGATGTAAGGCAGCTGGTGATGGTTCCCGCGACGTTCAGCTCAACGCTATGGTGCTCGCCTCCATCCTGCTGCTGGTAGGCGGCCTGGAGGTTGGGGTGGGGTCCTGGTGGCCGCCCACCTGCAGAGGCACCATCGCCTCATAACTCGGACGCGGGAGGGAGGACGGAGGGACGGCAGGGGCTGAACTCCTTCTCGTGTGGTCGAGCCCCACGTAGCCTGCAGGGTGGGCGGTTTGGTGCCCGAGGCGGGGTCCTGATGGCCCCCCGCCTCCTGTGGCGTCCCGTGCCGTCCCGTCGCGCTTTCAACGCCGTGGTGCACGGCGTGCTGCCCCGTCGCGCTGCTCGACGTGCCGCCCTGCCGCGCGCTCCACGTCGCACTGCTCGGCGTCGCGGCGCCTGGCTCGCTGACGCTGCTCGGGGTCGGGCGCTGGTCGCAGAGGGCCGCCGTGGTTCTCATTGCACGGATCGCATCACTCGGAGACGTGGAAATGTTGGTGCTGAGTCACGCCGTCCTGCTCGGCGTCGCTGCGCTCAACTCTGTCACGTTGCTCAGGGTCCAGGTGTTGGTCGCCGACATGCTGCTGACGGACGTGTTTCTCGGAGCACTGTTGGTCTTACTCGTGAGTGTGAGGCTGTTGGTGCTGGATCGCGTCGAGCTGCTCAACGGTTTCGTGCTCGCTTTTGTCGTGCTGCACGGTGCGCCGGCTCTGGGCTCGGACGTGTTGCTCCAAGACATGGTGGTCGTTGCGCTGCTCGTCGCACTCGTAGATGTGAGGCTGTTGGTGCTGGGTCCAGTCGAACTGCTCGGCGTCTTGGTGCTCAGCTCCGTCGTGTTGTACGATGCCGACGTGCAGGTCGCGTGCGTGCTGCTGTAGAGCGTGGTGTTCGATGCACTGGTCGTCTCACTCGTACAAGTGTGGCTAATGGTGTTGGGTCCCGTCGTGCTGCTCGACGTTGTGGTGCTCAACTCCGTCGCGTTGCTCAGTGTCGAGGTGCTGGTCGCGTACGTGCTGCTGGAAGACTTGGTCTTCGATGCACTGGTCGTCTCACTCGTAGGTTCGAGGCTGTTGAGGCTGGATCCCATCGTGTTGCTCGACGTGGTAGTGCTCGATTTCCTCGTGCTGCACTCGTGTCGGGATGGTCCCGAACGTGCTGCTCAAAGACATGGTGCTCGTTGCACTGCTTGTCTCGCTCGTAGACGTGAGGCTGCCAGTGCTGGATCCCATCTTGATGCGCGACGCCGTGATGCTTGGTCCCGCCGTACTGCTCAGTGTCATGATGCCGGCCCCTGCAGTGCTGCTTGAAGACGTGGTGTTCGATGCACGTCTCGTCCCATTCGTAAATGTGATATGCTATTGGTGCTGGATCCCGTCGTGCTGCTCAGTGTCATGGTGCTCAGCTCCGTCGGGTTGCTCAGAGTCGGGATGCTGGTCGCCGACGTGCTGCTGGAAGACGTCGTGTTCGAAGCGCTGCTCGTCTCACTCGCCGGTGTGTGGCTGCTGGTGCTGGGCCCACTCGAACTGCGCAACGTCGTGGTGCTCAGCTCCGTCGCGTTGCGCGGTCTCGAGGTGCAGGCCGCGTGCGTTCTGCTGGAAGACGTGATTCTCGGTGCACTGTTCGTCTCGCTCGTAGGTGCGAGGCTGTTGAGGCTGGATCCCATCGTGTTGCTCGACGTGGTAGTGCTCGATTTCCTCGTGCTGCACTCGTGTCGGGATGGTCCCGAACGTGCTGCTCGAAGCCGTGGTGCTCGTTTCACTGCTTGTCGCGCTCGTAGACGTGAGGCGGCTGATGCTGGATCTCGTCTTGGTGCGCGACGCCGTGATGCTTGGTCGCGCCGTTTTGCTCAGTATCATGGCGCTGGTCCCTGCAGTGCTGCTTGAAGACGTGGTGTTCGGTGCACTGCCCGTCCCATTCGTAAATGTGATATGCTATTGGTGCTGGATCCCGTCGTGCTGCTCAGCGTCATGGTGCTCAGCTCCGTCGTGTTGCTCAGAGTCGGGATGCTGGTCGCCGACGTGCTGCTGGAAGACATCGTGTTCGATGCACTAGGCTGCTGATGCTAGATCCTGTCGTTGTCCACATCGCGGGAGTGCTCGACTCCGTCGTGCTGTCTGGTGTCGCGGAGTTTGTCTCGGACGTACTGCTCAAAGACATGGTGCTCGTTGCATTGTTTGTCGCACTCGTAGATGTGGGGCTGCTGGTGCTGGGTCCCGTCGTGCTGCTCAGCGTC